AGCAAACAAAAGCCCCACTGCTGCCTGCCCCGTTCTGTCTCTGTGTGTGTGTGCAATGATCCCATTTCTGTCTGCAGAGAGCTCCTCCGCAATGTGTCCTTTGTCTGCAGCGCACCTGTTACCTAACCTACACGCTCGTCTCTCTCTCACTGTGTGTTTCACTGCTTTGCTCCCTGAAGAGAAATATCTTTTATACCTCAGCGTGCGGAATCAAGACATATTCAAAAGCTGAGAGCTGATTCACCAGCATGTACATACAGTGGCTGAAAGGCAAAGCTCCCAGCAGCTCACTCTTAATGGGTGCCACTGAAAATCACTTTCATTCACATCAGTCGGAGAGATGGATTTATTCATCTTTGACACCAGCGAGTATTGGCTTATTGGTAAATTCATTGTCTTTGCTTCAATCCAGAGCGACTCGCTGCTTCTGGATGACTTTGAAACAGCTCAACTATTTATGAACCACAACCGGTAAACATTTTCTCTTAGGACCTCTTGGCCTGCATCACCCTCCTTCTCCTCCTCCTCTTCCTCTTCTTATTCTCACCTCTTGTTCTTTGTAACACCTTCATCCCCTCTGTGGCAGAGATGACTCACTGATCCATCTGTTCAGGCCTCCCACCTTCTTTGTGTCTTCACATCTGTCTCTCATTCGATGGTGATTATCCGAGTTTGTGTGTCACCGCGGACTTTACCTTGTCCTTGTCATCCATCTTCTTTCCCCTGAAGGTTGCTGTTATCTGAATCTGGTCCTGTCACATGTTCGTGTCTTCCTCCACCTCTCGGCCATGTTATTCTCTCATAATAACAGACCACAGAACAGAAACAACTGCTTCTTCCACTCCACACTGCTGCTGTTGCAGAGAAACCACATACCTGCAGTTCTGTTGTTTTCCCCACAGCTTACATGCAGTAAGATTGAAATTAAGGTTATGTATTGAGACAATTTTACGAGCCCTAGACCTTTATAACTTGTATATAATTTCTAAAAGTTATATAATTACTAAAAACCTCACATCAGACCACTTTGATTGTCCATAAGGGAAATTCAACTTTTGGCACAGAGCATCACAAACTCAATGAAAACATGGATCCAAACACCAAAAGGTCAATCCCAATGCAATTTAAGAGGATGGATGGTAAACAAAGAGATATATGTGCAAAATGTCCAAAAAGAGCAAAAAGTTAGGGTACTAATAAGGAAGTATGCAGTCTCCTCTTTATTTCCAAAGGACATACTATTTGCGGATATGTGTTTTTTGTCCAACAACAGCAATAATTGTGCCCCCTATAACATTTTTAAGCAATTGTTTTACGTCTGGCATTTTGTTAAAGTAGCGAGACATCTCTCATGCTCTGAGGTAAAATGTGTCTCATCTCGTAAAGAGAAAAAGGCCATCGATGTAAAATGAATTAAACGTCTGGTTAAAAGGTTATACCATGACAAAGCAGCAAAGCAGGCCCTGGTTTCAGGTCTCCACCTGTGCTTATAGAGCATCTTTTTCTAGGCCTCGTCGCCGCGTGCCGAGAGCACAAAGTCACCGGTCAGAAGACGCAGAGACCAAAGCACACTGTCCAGAATCTTCAACCTGGTGAGCTTACCGCACATTTGCCTCCTTTTACTAACAATGACCTCTTTTCTATCTGTACAACTGGGCTTCATGAACACTGTTTCCTGTCTGTGTTTGCCCAAAATGCAACAGTGATGCTCTCATCAGAGATCAGTGAGTAATAAATAAACACATAAATAACGGTTCACCATTTCAGTTGTGATGCTTTTCATTCATCGCCATTCAACACGCTTTCACAGCAGCCTGTCATCATAATAAACTAATGAGCTTAAGAGCCACATTTCCATTTTTACCGTGACACTACATGTAAACCCAAATATAAAATGTCTCATACACGTATTCATTGATTCATTTTCTGCAAATGCCAAATCTACCTCGACTCTTTTGTACCCTTATTTTCAGTGTCGATGACCTCCTCGCATCCCGATAAATGTGAAGCACTTGACAATCAAATTATTTCATGAACTTTCAGCACAGTTTTAACAGAAAACCACATCACCCCACATTGCTCTTAGAGGCCATCTCTGGACAGATAGATGTTTTTCCTCATCCTCTTTCTCCTCTGCAGGGAGACACCAAGTCCCGTCCACCCCCTAAACGCTGGAGCACCATCTTCTAAGCTCTCCGCCAAGGACCAAACAACAGATCCAACGCCTACGGGACAAGGCGAAGGAGGAGGAGGAACAGATCTGCAAGCGGCGGACTCACAACCTCAAGAAATGTTAACCCACTAACACAAGTCTCCTTTATGTTTAGACAGCGACTCCACATTGACGCAGTATGAAACCCACTCTCCAAGGGATGTAGGCGGTCATCGTGCTAGTTTTCTTTTTAATCCTACTCCCAAGCACATCCTGTCTCAGTCGTTATTTAGCTGTTTATAAGAGGTTTGCTTTTAGTAGAATATCTCAATGTAAAAATCACCCATTCAAGTATCTTGGTCTGATGGTGCTAGTGTCTGCTGTCTGCTGTCTGAGGTTCGTTCATGGCAGATGTTTGTTTTTCTATTTGTCTCCCGTCATCTGCATTTTGTACATGAGCACCGCTTTATGTATCTCACTGCTTGATGCTTGAACTCACACGCCGAACAAAGCATTGTTTTTGTTTCATATGTGAAGTATAGACGGAGAGTGGTCCTGTTTATGGCTGTTGTGCTCGAGTGAAACGCATGTTGCAAAGAAACACAACTGGAAACCTACAGTATATGAGTAGTGTGGACTCTAATATTGTTTTAATGTAACAGTTTTGCTTCATTATGCTTCTGTGTAAGTAATAAATATGTACAGTATGTTGTCATTCAAGTCTATCAAAAAATAAAACGCCCTTTTCCATTGCACTGTTGCAGCTTAATAATACAACTAAACTGGTCTGCTCTCTTTTCTATTTCTATCTTATTTATTGTGAGTTTCTGTTCGCATCTTAAATTAAGTTTGAGGTTTTAATGTTATTCGTGAATTTCAGAGATGACAGACAAATGTTCGTTTTATCTGATGGTCAGATAGTAAGTGGTTCAAAGGTTTATGGCAGAAGCACCAAGATGGTATGAGGAAGGACCGTATGTTGATTTCAAATGTTCTGACGCATAATTTGTCGATTTTCTTTTGCTCGTGATAAATTACATTGCCTCTCTCATTTGTACATGTTCTGTTTGTATGTTCCCTTTAGCAGAAAAGTCAAAAAGAACTGTAAAGGTGTTTTTGTTTCTGGTGTTGCTGACTTGGTGGTGCTACAGGAATTACAGCTGATACTTAGAAAACTGAGTGTTTTGTTTCCTCATAATGTAAAACTCTAACTGGAAATAAACATGTTATGTCCTCTCTCTGTTATTAAATTAAATGTTTTAAAATCTGAGTATTCTGTTGTCTTTATTACATCAATGTGTCATGTTTTAGAAATGTTTGAATCCAAAACAGAATGATCTACATTTACAGACCTACATTTAAAAAAATGCTTATTCTGGCTGACTTGGAAGCGTATCATGCGTCTCGTCTGAGCTTCTTGTCTTTTTTCTGATTTTGTTAATGATGACAATACTGGACATTGCAACCTCATGTCTTAACCAGCTTCAAGGTTTACTGAGCTCTGAATAAATGAGGAGGGAAGACACAAAGTATGTACTGTATTAGCCTTTAACTCAACCACTGAGAAGACTCCCACACACTCTCGAAATATCCCCTAGAGTTCAATCATCTATCTCAGACAACAATCCTTATATCAGCTACATCAACTGTACATTTTGTCCCACATTTAATTGAACACTTAATAAGGATGAAACACAGAAATAGAACAGTGTTTCTCATCATTAGAAGTAACGCTGAGACAGAACCTTTTAAGGACAACTGCACCAAAAACCACAATTAGCAAAGAGCTCTATCTCTACTGCAATGCAATGTTCTTGCAATAATTGGCTCAGTGCCACAAAATCGGCCTCACACAAACAGGAGGTGAAAGGAAATGTTTCCTTTGCTTGACTCATTCTCACATTCACATAAAGGGCTAAGCCTGTCGCTATGGTTTTGTCTTAACACTGATTCAGGCCATACAGATGTCTGGTATGATAAATTATCCCTACAAATATATTAAAACCTCAAAAAGAATTCTGAGATACAAGCTCCAACGCTCAACCCAAAAAACATCCTTTCAATGTGCTTTAACAGTTTGTTCAACCCCTATCAACCTTACTTTGATAGAATAAAGAAGTTAATATGAACATGCTGTTTTTGTATGTATTTTCCTATACTGTGTATTATATACACAGGGCCGTATATAAAACCTTTGTTCCTTAATGCACCTCTTTTTAGAGTTTCTCTCTATTGTCACAGCCTCATGTTTTTTTTTTTCACTGAAATGGAAATCTCTATAGGTTGTCCCCTGAATGCACCCGAATACATTAACTGACAGCCCCATTCATTAGCCCGCCATCTTTCAGGGTCTTTCACAATTGACGGAGGAGGCTTTCTTCAAACACAGGGAAGACTTTTTGCACAATTTAATCACAAGAAAGGGATGCTGCAGCGTTGAGCAAGAGAGACCTCTGGTGCTCCACCAATGTGCTGCAATGGAACTGTTCTAAAACGAACCCCAGTATTCTACAATGAGATTCAGTGTCCTCGAATGACCCACCGCAACCTCAGTTTTTTAAAAAAACCCCTTAAAAAAAGCGTCAGTTTTTTTAAAAAAAAAACAAAAAATAACCATAATTTTTTAAAAATGACCCCAATGAGCCTCAGTGTTCTAGAATGACCACTGCAATAGCCTCAGTGTTCTAGAATGACCCACTGCAATGAGCCTCAGTGTTCTAGAATGACCCACTGCAATGAGCCTCAGTGTTCTAGAATGACCCACTGCAATGAGCCTCAGTGTTCTAGAATGACCCACAATGTTCTAAAAATGAGCGTTCTAGAATAAATCCCAACATTCTACAATCCATCAGAAAACTCAAAGCTGTTTTTATTACCGTATATACCAAGATTTCTTTCTTTTACATAGTGTGAAGAGACGTCAATATGGCACCGAAAAAATTGTTTTTGCATTTATTTTCTAATGCAGATCAATGGCAAATAATTTATGTGCAAAATTAACTTCAGTGGGGCTCGAGAAGTACATTCACAACACTGCCTTATACAGATGTACAGTTTACAGCATCACTATACAAGAACTGAGCAAATGGCACTGCACAAATTAAAATCACTTGAAGGAAGCATATGATTGTTCCGTTTTTCTTTTCATAATACCTATAAGATGAAAATAATGCACATAAAAAGGATCAAACAAAAGCGGCTGCTCATAGAAGCCTTCAATTATTTTACTCCATAGACTTTTAAAGTCATCATGTAATTTATTGTCCTTCTTGTATGTATTTATTTACATACAGTTTAAGTGCTGTAAACCTGTTTCACATTTAATTTCCACTAAAGCTCTCACTCGCCTCCTCTTTGAAAACGTGACTACCGGTGTCCAAATTTTGTGACTGAGTTCTTAGCTGATCCACAATCCCAGACACGCCGCCCAACAGGCCACGCATCCCGTCCTCCATCTCCCCGTGAAAATCCACCTCCTCGACTTTCACCTGACCTCCCGTTGCAAGAAAACCCTCGCCGTCTTCAAATCCATAACTGTAGCTGTCATCCATGTCCGCCGCCGGTGTGCTACCGTTGTTGCTGTTAGCCGAGGAGCTGGAGGCAAGTCTCTCACACCGAGCCTGATGCCTGAGGAAGCTGTCTCTCCATATGACTTTCTTCCCACACAGGCCACACTCATAAGGCCGCAGCCCTCCATGAGTCTTAAGGTGCTTGGTAAGGTGATGCTTCATCTTGAAGGACTTTGTGCAAACGGGACAGCCGAAGGGCCTTAGATTGAGGTGCTGCATCTTCACGTGGCGATCGCGCATGCTCTTCAGGGTGTAGGCTTTGCCGCAGTGGCAGAAGTGGACCTTGCCCGTGTAGGGGGCGCCAGCGAGGGATACTGAGGATGACGAAGATGGGGTTGGGGGGGAAGAGGGTGGCGGAAATGCAGCGGAGGATGGAGACAAATGGTGATTTGAGGTGGGGGTCAGTGAGCCACCCTGTCCCACGCTGGTGGAGGGCCAGTTCACCTCAGAGCCCGCCATGGTGAAATCAGGAGATACAGGCACTAAAGGCCTCTGGGAAACCTGTCCTGTGCCATCTTCAATCTCATCGTATGTGTCTCTGCTAAAGGTCCCTTCTGTGAAACATTCAAAGTCCCCATCCTCCTCCTCCTCATCTTCATCCTCGTCTTTACTGCAGCTGCCAGCCTCTCCTTCCTGCGGCCTCTGCTCTTGCTGAGACCAGGGGCCAGTCTGCCACTGCAGCCGGGCTGAAACTGGACAGGAAGGTCCTGGAACTCCATCACTTGTTTGGCAAGCATGAACACTGGACAGGCCGGAGGAGGGATCACTCCCCACCACGTTTCTCTGCACTTTTTCCTTTATCTCCTCCACGCTCGCCTTCCCCGTGGCTTGTCCGGTACCTACACTCTCGTTTGAAACTGGGTGGAAGTCTGTTGGAGAAATAAGAAAAACAAAATCAAATCCAGGTAGCTATAGTATATTATTATTTAGATCATTTATAGAACAAGGAGAAGGATGAAGCATAGAGTCTGCGTATATAATCTTAATGGTGGTACTAATCTAGGGCTATATTCAGACTGTAAACATTAGCACTTAATTCTGATCCTTTTCACTAACTTGGAATTTTTCATTTTTTTTTCTTGTTTCCTTTGTAACATTGGTAAGAAAAGTCCTATATAATAATAAAGTTTCACATTATATTATGTATATATTTTCTGGAGCAATGGCTGCTACTTCTGTGGGGAATTGTGTGTCAGAACAAACACATACGGGTTATGATTTGACCCCTTAAATTTTGCTTCACAAAAGTGTCACCCCCAAATACTTCCTCCACTGACTACGTCCATTGCAACTGTCTTCCATGTTTGCATTGACTGAGTGACTCCCGCCAGCGCTGAATTGTGACTTTAGGATTCTGACATGACTGTTTACACTGAGGTCACAGAGCAAAAAAAAAATCAGCCCTGTATGTGATTTGGACTTTATATGAAAGTGGCTCAAATCAGAATATGTGTCCATGTGATTTGTGAACTTCACACTGTCATGAAAAGAACCGATCTCGGTCATTATGAGTAAATAAAATCAGTCGGCCTTCTGTAAACGCACCACTATCACACCACTGTGGAAACCCTTAACAGAAGTGGCCTGGGTGCGGGCTGGAAGACATCACACGCAAGGCATTCTGGTAGTTGTAGGATGTTCTGATTTAGAGATATAGCGACATCTACAGCCTTTTTGTTCTCAGTTTCCTCTGGCAATAAGACACTAATTTAAACAGTGTAATTCAACTTACAACTTACTTCAAACTTTTATTTTACTTTGTTTTTAACTCTGTTTTTT